GTGTGTGTGTGTGTGTGTGTGTGTGTGTGTGTGTGTGTGTGTGTGTGTGTGTGTGTGTGTGTGAGCCAAGAGAGGGACTGTAAATCCAGTGATGTTCATGAACGCCGGAGGAGAACGGGCCCGGCTGAGCCTCTGGGTTCCCCCGAGAATGTTTTTCCTCCATCGCCTGATGCCGTTTAGGACACCTTCAGGTCAAACTCGAAATAAAACACTGTTCTACATGAGAAATGGACTTTGGTGGATGGGTTAGGTCGATGGGTTAGGGTGATGGGTTAGGTCGATGGGTTAGGGTTAAAATGATTTTTAAACTCGTACGCTGAGTTAAAGCTCCTACATACAGTAGTGTGTGTAACCGCTGGCGTTAGGTCGGGTCTAGGCTTGCGTGCCACGGTTAGTTGTGCGTGTTTAAGCCACATGTTCAATGCATTCCTCAGCACAGTTTATAATTCAGGAGTTTCTCCTGAGCTGCAGATTCCAGCATCTGGCCGGAGAACGACTACTTCGGTCTGAGCGCTTCATAGTGTAGAGAGAGAGAGAGAGAGAGAAGTACAGGCGTTTGGGAGTTTAGTTGAATGGATAATAATGAATAACACAGAGCAGTGTTACAGAGATGACAGTTAAAGGCTGTTCTGCTTCCCATCACAGCGGCGAGTGTTTCCCGACTGACTGAAGACAAACCAGAATCACAATGAGATTTTATTGTTCTGTCACACACACACACACACACACACACACACACACACACACACACACACACACACACACACAGAGATTCTCCCACGTTTCTGAATAGAAAAGACAAACAAGAACAAACATGTAATTTACTTGAGGTTCTGACAAAATGTTAATTGCTGCAGTCTATATTTAAAAAAAAATATTACATTTTCTTTTACAGTTTGATTTAAGTGAATGATTCAATGACTTGCTCATAAACACTCTACTTGTTTCATTACTGGATGAATCAGCGTTTCTGAATGAATCTCTTAAATGAATGATTCAGCGTTTCTGAATGAATCTCTTAAATGAATGATTCAGCGACAGATGCACTTTTAACAGTCAGTTGTCGCCCCCTACTGGTGTTACGATGTAGTCAATACAATCCTTATTTAAAGGGTCAAGTTACTAGCCTGGGAAAACCCAGACAACTTCCGGCAAATTTAGATTGGCTCTGAAAGTTAGTCTGGCGAAGAGCTCATTCAAACCCATTTCCAGTCCGCAGAAATCGCGGCACCAATCAGAAACGTTGGGGCGGGCTTTACACGATGACGACAGCGCTGGGATTTTGAAGCAGATTTTGTAGCCTACATTACAAAGATGGACGGCGCCGTCGAACATCACTCGCTCGAATCAGCTATCGCGTCTGTTTTTAAGCGATTTGATTTTGAACGTTCCCTTTTTGTTAAAAACCGAGCAAAGAACAACGTCTCCGCCGGCCGCCGCTCTGCAAACGTCATCTCCTGATTGGTTTTAGGTCTACCCGCGACGTCCGCTGGTGACGCCCCTCTGGAAATGTTTTGTCTATGAAGCTTTACGAGACCACATCTCAGTTACAACTATCAAGTTACCTTAGGTCGCTTCCATTTCAACTTTATTTTTTAGACTGTATAAAATGTGTATTATTCATAGACATTTAAAGCAGCAACTAAACTTATTTAGACATATTTGTAGAAATACACAAAATGACACAGTTGCGCAAAACCCGATGGCTGACGGTTGTGTTGAGATTATCGAGAGGCAGTGATGATCGTATCTCCACGGATGACTACACAGAGTCAGATGTGGAAGAGAATCAGCTTTTGTTGATGGGTTAATAAATGAGGCTGTTGTGGTGCTGGTGTGTGTGTGTGTGTGTGTGTGTGTGTGTGTGTGTGAGAGATCAGTGTGTCCAGCCTCTGATCCTCCAGCTGTGCAGGACTGAAGGTTTGTGGCTTCGCAGGATCCGCCCTTCTGCACGCAACTCCTGGGAACCAGTCCAGAACTGGGATTTACCCGCCCGGCTCTGGGAACCCTGGAGAACCGTGTCAAACACAGACACTCTCGGGTCCATTCATGACATATTAGCCCATTTATTCAACCTGAAATCGGTCATTTTGTAGATGAGAAACACTTTCAAACTTTTCAGAGATTCCCAGTGACAAAAACACTCGCCGTTTGGATTTAAATAAACAGATGCTTCAGATAATTATTGGAAAATTATTGCAGTGATTTATGTTCTGGCTTTTAACCTCAACTTATACAGTGTGCAGCTCTTCATTTCTGAAGCATCCATGTCTGAAGATGAAGCCCATGGCTTTATTCCCTTTAAGGAGTCGTGACTTTAAACTCACTGGAAGTCTGTGCGGGAGAATGTAGAGAGCGGCTGCAGGGATAATGCAGTTGATGATGGAAATAAATGTTGTGATGTTGTCTAAATGAATAGACTCCGGCCCGGCAGTGTGTGTGTTTCCAGCAGACTCATGTTCACAGCGGTCCTTCTCTTCTGAGTTACAGTTAAGCAGAACAAAACCACCTACCAGCACAGAATAACCTATGAGAAATAAATATGCTTTGATGCTGGAGACAAGACACACGAACACGCTTGTTTCCGCGGACCGGATCCAGACGTGATGAAGCACACGTTTAGAACACGCTTGTCTGACTAGTTCCCATGGGCCGCATGAAACATGCCTGTCTGCCACTGAAAGCTGTTTATTTACTCAGGAAGCCAAAGCAAATTGATTGTGTGGCAGTGATAATTGTCTGTGGTGTTTGTGGGCGGTGGAGAATAGGGAGCTAAAGCACACCGTCACTGAGCGCTACGAGAGGAACACGTCATGTCCTGTGCGAGATGCTGGATTAACGATTTTACTCTGTAAAGAGGAGATGTTGTGTAGTTGGGTTTAACCAGTAAAGGCATGTGCTGGGAACAGATCAACAGTGGCTGATGGGGCAGTAATTAATCCAGTGGCGGTGGCTGGAATATCTGTTCATTTTCCGGGATCAAGTGATGTCACTGATCCGTATCAGCTTGGCTAATTCATGATGGCTGTTTTGGTGTCGGGTGACTTTGACCCGCTGGACTCCATCCAAAACATATCCATTTCTCTTGTTAGGACAATCTCACACATACACTTGGGTTGTAAGTGTTTTAAAACAAACATTAGAAGAAAGAGTTGCAGCTTTTCTGAGACACATTGACTGTTTGACATCCATAATTGTGGCAAAATTTACAATTAGCATTCACTGATTATGATCCTCGATGAGCGGCGAGGACGGATTAGAAAATCACAGACTGTGTCTCGAACTCATAAACTGAAGTTGGTGCTGGTGGAGAGAGAGAGAGAGAGAGAATGACAGCTCTATAATGACATGCACAAGTGTTCAAAACATTTAGTGTATTTACACACAAACACACACACACACACATTGGTCTTTTATCCAACTAATTGAAGAACTAATTGACAGAGTATTACAATGATTACAAGTTGTGTGCCTGAACATGTCTCCCTGAATGTCAAACTGTGCCGTTACTTGTTGAAATATGATTATTTGCATGTAAAGCTTCACTTATGCCTGCTGTCGTATTGAGAGTGTGTTATATTCCTGGTGCCTCATACATTTTACTCCTGTGTCTGCGATCAGATATCGTGGAGATGTGTGTGTTTAGATATGCGCTTCTTCTAACCATTTCTAGGATCAGGATGTTATTTGCTTTACGTGAATTTTTACTACGTTCATTTAAACTTTTGTAATCTGAATGTGAGAAACAGTCGGTGCAGTTTGTGTTTCCTCTGTTGTATTTCTGACAGACACATTTTGCGGTTCCTCCGGGATAAGGTTAGACAATTAGAATGAATGTGAACAACAAACTGATGTGTTTGATGTCACATGACAGCAACAGATAGAGACACACAATAACCTCATATAATGAACCGTTCGGCTCCATAACATGGAGCTTAACCTTCTGTGGCGAAGCATTCACAGCCTGCCAGCAGTCATCAATATTTAACAGCTGTTGTTCTTCTGAAAGTCTTTATAGGCTAATGTGGGTTCCTCGCTTGCACGCAAGGGCTTGGCCTCACGCCAGAGCTGTCAGACACACTGCAGACTGACAGAAGAGGATCGCGTGACAGCAGCTCTCGCTCGCCCAGCGCCTCTCTCTCTCTCTCTCTCTCTGTGTGTGTTTCCTGTGCTGGTTGGTCAGAGAGGTGAGGGGGCGGGGCTCAGCGCGTGTCAGTCTGTCACTCGAGCTGCTCCACTGAACCATTCAGGGACAAAGAAGCCAGAGAAATAACTCTGAGCAAAGACAGTCCAACTCACTGAAGCGCCTGATCCCGATCGCTCTGCCTCTGTCTCTCTGGGAAACTTTGTTGTAAGATGGACAGTTTTCCCTCCTTGAAATATTTCAGCTTGAGCGAGATGAAGAGCTCAGTGTTTGTTAGCCCTTTAGATGCACATCAGGTAGTAAATGTTTTCTCGAGCTGAACATGACAGTTCAACAAACTGTTGCAATTATTACAGTCATATAGACCATTTCACAAGATGTAAACAACACTGGTCCAGAAGCACTTCCTGTTTCAGTTTTTTAACACTACATAAACGTTGGGATAAAATACAACCAACAGAACATATAAAACTGAATCAAAAAGTTAAACAAACATCTTTAAGATGTTTTATTTACATGTGAAATAAAGACAACAGTTACAAACTGAAACAGGAAGTGCTTCTGGACCAGTGTTGTTTACATCTTGTGAAATGGTCCATCAGTTGGTCAAGAACATGAAGACGCTTTTATGAGGAGAACATCAAATAACATCAAATAACGGAAGAGTTTGAAGCATTTCCGAACACAATGAGCTTTTCTCTTACGTTGCCATTAGAATAATGCTACTGACAAAAGCAGGAACGGAACTGGAGTTCACTGTTCACACAATGGAAAAATCATGCCAGTCACTTGTAGGAAATACAATTTAATGTAAATGAATTTATGAATTATTTTACTGTATTCTTTCCTGTTCCAGCGGCTGCTCAGGAAAACCCTCGTGAGAAACACGTCAGCGGGAAGAAGAGCAACACGACAGACGCATGCGTTCCTGAGAGCCAGCTGCTGCTCGAGGTGTGTGTGTGTGTGTGTGTGTGTGTGTGAAGGTGCACTGATTATGTCAGTAACTGTCACTCATACTGCAGAAGAAGTAGTCAGGTTCACTAGTTGATTGACTAGTTTTGTATATTTAAACACAAAATGAGAAGCAGACTCTCATTCAGAGGAACAGTGCGTCACCGTAACCAGTGAAGAGTTAACCGTAACATGTGAAGAGTTAACCTAACCAGTGAAGAGTTAAAATTAGTGAAGCGTTAACCGTAACCAGTGAAGCGTTAACCGTAACCAGTGAAGAGTTAACCGTAACCAGTGAAGCGTTAACCGTAACCTGTGAAGAGTTAACCGTAACCTGTGAAGAGTTAACCGTAACCAGTGAAGAGTTAACCCTAACCAGTGAAGAGTTAACCATAACCAGTGAAGAGTTAACCGTAACCAGTGAAGAGTTAACCGTAACCAGTGAAGAGTTAACCCTAACCAGTGAAGCGTTAACCATAACCAGTGAAGAGTTAACCGTAACCAGTGAAGAGTTAACCGTAACCAGTGAAGAGTTAACCGTAACCAGTGAAGAGTTAACCGTAACCAGTGAAGAGTTAACCGTAACCAGTGAAGAGTTAACCTAACCAGTGAAGAGTTAAAATTAGTGAAGCGTTAACCATAACCAGTGAAGCGTTAACCGTAACCTGTGAAGCGTTAACCGTAACCAGTGAAGAGTTAACCGTAACCAGTGAAGCGTTAACCGTAACCTGTGAAGAGTTAACCGTAACCTGTGAAGAGTTAACCGTAACCAGTGAAGAGTTAACCCTAACCAGTGAAGCGTTAACCATAACCAGTGAAGAGTTAACCGTAACCAGTGAAGAGTTAACCGTAATCTGTGAAGAGTTAACCGTAACCTGTGAAGAGTTAACCGTAACCAGTGAAGAGTTAACCGTAACCTGTGAAGAGTTAACCCTAACCAGTGAAGCGTTAACCATAACCAGTGAAGAGTTAACCGTAACCAGTGAAGAGTTAACCGTAACCAGTGAAGAGTTAACCGTAACCAGTGAAGAGTTAACCCTAACCAGTGAAGCGTTAACCATAACCAGTGAAGAGTTAACCGTAACCAGTGAAGAGTTAACCGTAATCTGTGAAGAGTTAACCGTAACCTGTGAAGAGTTAACCGTAACCAGTGAAGAGTTAACCGTAACCTGTGAAGAGTTAACCCTAACCAGTGAAGCGTTAACCATAACCAGTGAAGAGTTAACCGTAACCAGTGAAGAGTTAACCGTAACCAGTGAAGCGTTAACCGTAACCAGTGAAGAGTTAACCATAACCAGTGAAGAGTTAACCGTAACCTGTGAAGCGTTAACCGTAACCAGTGAAGAGTTAACCGTAACCAGTGAAGCGTTAACCGTAACCAGTGAAGCGTTAACCGTAACCAGTGAAGCGTTAACCGTAACCAGTTAACCATAACCAGTGAAGAGTTAACCATAACCTGTGAAGCGTTAACCATAACCAGTGAAGAGTTAACCGTAACATGTGAAGAGTTAACCATAACCAGTGAAGCGTTAACCATAACCTGTGAAGCGTTAACCGTAACCAGTGAAGAGTTAACCGTAACCAGTGAAGCGTTAACCGTAACCAGTGAAGCGTTAACCGTAACCAGTGAAGAGTTAACCGTAACCAGTGAAGCGTTAACCGTAACCAGTGAAGCGTTAACCGTAACCAGTTAACCATAACCAGTGAAGAGTTAACCATAACCTGTGAAGCGTTAACCATAACCAGTGAAGCGTTAACCGTAACCAGTGAAGCGTTAACCGTAACCAGTGAAGAGTTAACCGTAACCAGTGAAGAGTTAACCGTAACCAGTGAAGAGTTAACCATAACCAGTGAAGAGTTAACCGTAACCAGTGAAGCGTTAACCGTAACCAGTGAAGCGTTAACCGTAACCAGTGAAGAGTTAACCGTAACCAGTGAAGAGTTAACCGTAACCAGTGAAGAGTTAACCATAACCAGTGAAGCGTTAACCGTAACCAGTGAAGAGTTAACCGTAACCAGTGAAGCGTTAACCATAACCAGTGAAGCGTTAACCATAACCAGTGAAGAGTTAACCATAACCTGTGAAGCGTTAACCATAACCAGTGAAGCGTTAACCGTAACCAGTGAAGCGTTAACCGTAACCAGTGAAGAGTTAACCATAACCAGTGAAGAGTTAACCGTAACCAGTGAAGAGTTAACCATAACCAGTGAAGAGTTAACCGTAACCAGTGAAGAGTTAACCGTAACCAGTGAAGAGTGTGTTGCGTGACTGGAGGAATCACAGCTCCAGTTTTCCGACTCATCCCAGAGGAGGAGAGTATTCCAGAGTTTCCGTGGAAAGACTCTGAATGGGTTTCTTTCGTGACCTCTCTGAGATGCCTTTGAAGTCTTTGTGACAGTGTGAGAACAGAGGAAAAGCCATCAGGATGTGGATAGAAACAGAGAGATTGTTCATGATCTGTTTTCAGGGCTGCATTTCTGTTTAAAGTCTCTGTTGTAAACTCAAACCCTCTCCGAGCAGCAGGAGCTGTCTTCTCGAGCTCAGAAACAGTCACTAAACCCTCGTACAGATTCAGGAGTCACCGTTACACACTCACTGGATGGACCAATGAACAAACAAACAATCAAACAGACGAATGAATGAACATGTTGTGTTTCAGTGTCTGGCTGGTTTTGCTCTGGTCGTCAGCAGTGATGGGATGGTGTTCTACGCATCATCCACCATCGTCGACTACCTGGGCTTCCACCAGGTGAGATCAGAACATCACACACACACACACACAACATCACACACGTCACATGACAGACTTGATCACAATCAATATCCCAATATGTCAGTTCCTCGTAAAGAGTGTGTAAAGTGGTCTGAATTCCAGGCTGTTGTGGTGAATCTGTGTGTGTCGCCGCGGTACAGCTGCTGTCCTCTGAGGAACGGCGGGTTATTTTCTGCTGTTAGCGGCGGATCTCACGCGGTCAGACTCGCTGCTTTATAAGGCAAATGTTCAGACAGCTTTGCGTGCCTGTCGTATGGAAAGTATGGGAGTTTCACTATTATAGAGAGAATCTGTCATTTCTGACAAAGGAAAAGGAAGAGTTAAGCATGCAGGCTTATTTTGGGAATGCTGGGATCTGGTGCGTTAGGCAGTCTGTGTCACGCGACATTTAAGAAATCCAGGAATCTGAGCCGTCTGACCACAATAAAGCCGCAGATCCCACTGTAAAAGGCCAACGTTTACAGATAGGGTATACATATATGTGTGTGTGTGTATTCAGTATTTATACATATATATATATATATATATAACAATAGTATTGATGTTTCAATATTTCTAAAAGTCTAACATTCAAATTTATGATTAGGCTTGAAGTCAAAATATATACATAAAATAAAGCTGAATATGGTCGAGCCTCGTTGACGGAGTCTCTCTCTCTCCTCAGACGGATGTGATGCATCAGAACGTGTTTGATTACATTCACGTGGACGACCGGCAGGAGTTCAGACGGCAGCTGCACTGGGCCATGAACCCTTCGACCCAAACCCCGGATCAGCAGTTCCCCAGCGGCACAGGTGCGAGAACACGCCTCACACGCTAATCACACACAGCACACATATCACACGCATCAAGCCCGCAGTGCTGATGTTCGGCCACTCATGTTTGTCTTGTAGGTGAAGATTTTGTGGTCAGCTCGTTGTTTGAGTCCGTGGAGGCGGGTGGCGTTGCTCCAGAGTTCTCCTGCTTCCTGAACCGATGTTTTATCCTGCGAGTTCGCTGCTTACTGGACAGCACATCTGGATTTCTGGTGAGAGATTCCTTCAGTTTAGAGGCCTTTGTGTGACTCATCACATGTGATCATAACCCTCGACTGAACAGGGACTTCTTATAGATTGTTTTCCATGAGCTTTTTCCTTAAAGGGGTGATGAACTGAGAAATCAAATTTTCCTTGAGTTTTTGACATATTACAAGAATATCCTGTAAGTTTCAGAACTGAAAACGTCCTTGTTAGTCCAATAAAAGCTTTTATTGACACCAGGCTCGGCAAACGACTCGTTTTTGAAAGTGGGGAACTATGACGTCAAAGAGGATGAAACGCCACCCGGCAGAAGAAGATCGACGCTTACTTCAACACGGCCGGTTTAGCGCTTTACACGCATAGCTAAAACACATAGATGCCTACCTCGTGATGACTAACCGGATCGAGAGTGAAACTCATAATAATATGCAAAACTGTTATCCACTCACAGCAGAGGGTGTTTACTTCCGGGGCTCAAAACTAGGGAGAAAATAGCCTATTACTTATTCATTTTGATGTTTTTTAATGTAAAAACCAAGCAAACATCATAAGTGGACCTCAGACAACAATATAAAAAAAATGAAAAAAGTCAGTTCATGACCCCTTTAAATTATTCCACTGAGAGAAAAAAATCCCAACCACGTTAATGTTTTGTCTGCAGATCTCGAGTCTCGGCGTGTGATTTGGCTTTGTGTCCTTTAAGAGGTTTTGCTGCACATAAACAGGGTTGATTCATAAGAAGGTTATAGTTAGACAGATGTGGTTCATCTCAGAAGACGTTATCACCCTGTAGCCCAGGACTGGGTTCCCACTGAAGATAAGCAGGGTTGAGGCTGGTCAGTACCTCAATGGGAGACTCCTGGGAAAACCAGGTCGCTGCTGGAGGAGGTGTTAGTGGGGCCATTAGGGGGCGCTGTGGTCTGTGTAGTGATGGAGTGATGGAGACACTACACTGAAACACTGTCCATGGGAAGAGAGAGAGACTCTCTGTGGTCATTAAATCCCCATGGGACTTCTTGTTGAGAGTCGTGGGGGGTAACCTCATCAGTCATGGCCTCCTGATCCTGCCCATCCACTGCACTGTCTCTGCTCTCCGCCTGTAGTGTGTGTGTGTGTGTGTACCGCTCATAACCTGTGCTCAGATCTGAGGTGTGTGTGTGCTTGCAGACGATGCAGTTCCAGGGCCGCCTGAAGTTCCTGCAGGGCCAGCGGAGGAGGACGGTGTCGGGGGCGAGTCTCCCCCCTCAGCTGGGGCTGTTCTGTGTGGCCGTGCCCCTCGGGCCGTCCAGCGCCGAGCCGAGGGTGAAGACCGGCCTGGTGAAGAGCAAACACAAGAACCCTGTTCTCTCCTCGCTAGAGCACAAGTGAGCACAACTCTTCCCTTTCCCTCGGGCTTGCAGAAACTGTTACTGTTAGTGTTGCCGAAACTAACCTATGAAATGAAATGTCTTGGGACGCGGCGCTCGTGTTATTTTCCCGTTTGTCACTGGGAAGCACGATTGAAATAAAGCTGACTTGACCTAGACACTTGCCCTTAATGAGATTGCCTACAATGTGGAGAGCATAATAGTTGTTATAATTACTATATTTTGGGACCAAATGTTATATTGTACAAAAGCATGAACGATGGAGTTTTGACGGAACAATGAATGTGATCGAGGAACTTCCTTTACCGATGTGATTCGCCACTGACAGATCGGCAGGATCTTCTCTTTTCCGGTCCGTCCACATCGACTCCTCAGGGTTCAGGACTTTAGAGTTTTCTGACTTTAGACGGAAGTGCGTCTTTATTTGTGCATTCTTTACTCTCAGTTGCACTGAATCCTCAAATCGCTCGCAGATAGTCGGACGTTTTCAGCCTGATGACTCAGGGGTTTATGGTTGTGGTTAGTGCTGATTCATCTCTCTCTCTGTGTGTGTCCTGCAGTGACAGAGACGATCCTCTCAGACGGGCACACGCGATCCCCTCCACAGACGCGAAGTGCCGGATTGACGCTCCGTACGGGCCGGACGAGCCTCTGAACTTCTGCAAGTCTCTGTCGAGTGTCCCGAAGCTCCAGAACCTGGACTGTGGCGTGTGGCCCGTGAGAAGCTCCTTGGCCCGTCTGGGTCAGGGGCTCGAGCTCGCCGCGAGGAAGCACACGCACTACGGGAAACCCTACTGCCCGGGCCCCGGATACTACAGCACCAGGGCCGAGGCGTTCCTGCCGAAGACGTACGGGAGCCTCTCACACAGCGACTACGACCCGGACGCCATCAAGAGCGAGAGCTTCTGCTACGCCGGCCCCGGCGAGGGCTTCGACGCACACCTGGTGCCGGAACCGTCCATTAAGGTGGAGCAGGACTCGGACTCGGAGAACGGCTGTGACGTGTTCGGGCGATACGCGTGCGGCTTCGAGAGCGTGCCGATGAAAGCCGAGTGTGTGTACGGCGAGGTGTTCTCCTGTCAGCGCATGAAGGGAACGTACGGCAGCCCGTGTCCCAGCACTTACAGCGGCCCGGCCCGGCCTCTGAAGTGTGTGCTGAACAGAGACTCGCTGAACACACACGGCGACGCCTGCGCTGACGTCTACAGAGGGTACGTGCAGCACGACTATAAGCTGCCCTACGAGTGCAAAGGGCCCGGGCTCCTTCAGGGCATCAAGCAGGAGCCGGCGGATCCTCCGCACTGGATCGCGATGAGCAACGGCGTGATGAGCGGCGCTAACAAGGCCGACCCGTACGGCTTCATGCAGTAGCCCTTCTGGAACTGGGTCCAGCCCACCAACACTCGCTTACAGCATACACAGATAAACTTTCTTACATCAAGATTGATTTACTGGAGAAGCACAATGCCTGAAGATGTTAAGTCTTGTTTAATGAAAATCGAGTCAAAGTAAAGCCGGCGCGCGGAGCCGTGATCTACAGTGCGTCAGGAGCGGGCCGTAGTTCGGCTCTAAACCCCTCCGCTGCTCTACATCCACTGTAAATCACGGCTTCAAGGGACTCATTGCTTTTATAAAACGGTTAATATTCTTTTTTATATTTATTTTATTCGTAAAATAAACACCAGCAACAAAAAACATAACTTTAGAACACATTTATTCCTCCACCAAACAATGTAGTTCTAAAGAGGTTGCCAAGCAACACACAGCAACAAAGCATCACACATGACAGTCGCGCAGTAACACACACTACTGTGATGTGCTCACATGTGTGTGTGTGTGTAACACTACTGTGATGTGCTCACATGTGTGTGTGTGTGTGTGTGTGTGTGTGTAACACTACTGTGATGTGCTCACAGGTGTGTGTGTGTGTGTGTGTGTGTGTGTGTGGAGTAATTTACAACGGCTTTGAACGCGTCTCAACCAATCAGAATCAAGGACCAGAACTATCCGGTTTATATGACTTATTTTCTTTTTGAATTAAGATCATTGTTCGAACTCTTCTGGCAGATGTTTGTTATTGTATTAAGCACAAACGCGCTTCATTTGATCCGTATGTCAGAAAACAAGACTGAATATCTTCAGTGATTTTGCGTGTATCCTGATTCAGGGATGTTTCCATATTCAAACCCTGGATAAGGGAACCGTGTCTGTCGGCGCTCAGCGCTTTCAGTTCGCTGAGCTTTCATTATAGCTTCTTCTATGCAGTTTTTATATAGTCAGGCTAATGTTTCTGTTCAGCAAACATGAACAAGGATAAAATTACGAACATAAAAATGAGAAATAAAACAACAATTAAAATAATAAACTTATGAGAGCGACAGTCTCTCATGCTTTCATCTGAAATGCCAAGATGCACATTTATGTTGAAGACAGATTCATTTCAAGGTTTATTGAATTTATTACATCATTACAATCATTGATAATCAAACCCTTGTTTTATTAAAGCATTTCATCTGCATGTTTATGAAGTATTGAAGTATAAAAACTGAAGGATTTCATCTGAAGTTTGTTTTCGGATATCAGCTGATATGACTCCATATTTAGACAGAAATATTCTTCTATCTCATAAAATAGCCAAGAGGTGAAATCCACCTGACTAATATGTTGAAGCAGATCAAGCAGCACAAAATATTCAATAATAATGTCAAATATTTAAACATTTTAATGTTAAATTCACTTCAGCAATGATAATGATGCCAAACGTTTAATGAAGTGTTTAATGGAGCACGGCTCTAAAGCTTTGACTTTGTTTTTATGACTGCAGTTCCACATACCAGGCTTAATCTAGATTTAGGTTTAACCTAGACCCAGGCTTAACTTAGAACCAGGCTAAATCTGGTCCCAGGCTTAATCTTGTCCCAGGCTTAATCTAGACCCAGGTTTAATCTAGACCCATGTTTAATCTGGCCCCAGACTAAATCTAGACCCAGGCTAAATCTAGTCCCAGGCTTAATCTAGACCCAGGCTTAATCTGGCCCAGACTAAATCTAGACCCATGCTTGATCTAGACTCAGGCTTAATCTGGCCCCAGACTAAATCTAGACCCAGACTAAATCTAGTCCCAGGCTTAATCTGGCCCCAGACTAAATCTAGACCCATGCTTGATCTAGACCCAGGCTTAATCTGGCCCCAGACTAAATCTAGACCCAGGCTAAATCTGGCCCCAGACTAAATCTAGACCCAGGCTAAATCTGGCCCCAGACTAAATCTAGACCCAGGCCAAATCTGGCCCCAGACTAAATCTAGACCCAGGTTTAATCTGGTCCCAGGCTTAATCTATTCCCAGGCTTAATCTATTCCCAGGCTTAATCTAGACCCAGGCTTAATCTAGTCTCAGGCTTAATCTAGACCCAGGCCAAATCTGGCCCCAGACTAAATCTAGACCCAGGTTTAATCTGGTCCCAGGCTTAATCTATTCCCAGGCTTAATCTAGACCCAGGCTTAATCTAGTCTCAGGCTTAATCTAGACCCAGGCTTAATCTGGCCCCAGACTAAATCTAGACCCATGCTTAATATAGACGCAGGCCATCAGTAATGCTTTTTTCTAAGGCACGTTTATAAAAGTTACTTAATTGAACTAAGGCTTAATCCTGGCTAAATCTAAACCCTGTCTGTGAAACCGGGCCCTAATGTATTTGTCAAGTAAAGATAATAGTGATAATGCGCTTGCACTGACTTGGGCTCGTTCAGCGAAAGGGAACCGGCGTTTGATCAGACGCTTTTGTGGAAGGTTCATTTGTATCAACTATTTGTATTTATTGTTTACATATAAATATCAAAGGCCTTTTGCACTTTTTCAAGGATTTTAACACAACGTTTTGCCACTGGCATTCAATACAGACAATAAATATTAACAGAAGATACAATGTTTTACACAAGTTTATAACTGCAAAGCAGCAACAATCAAAATGGGTCTTCCTGTTGTATTTATTACTTTTATAAAAATAAAAATATTGTATGACAAAAATGAGAAAGGCTTTTACTATGGATAATGGCAAAAATAAATATTTCCACTTTTCAGATTTCAGATTCTCCTTTTTCATTTGAAAATTGTGCCCAGTATTTTGGATAAATGTCCACCAGGGAAGATATTTAAATCTTAAAACACAGTCCTGATATGTGAGTATCTTGAGATGATGTAATCCAGTGTAAATCCCGCCTACTGCCAGTCAAAACTCATTCCTATTGGTGTGACATCACCAGGGAGGGCGGAGCTTGTCTTAGACAGAGCTGCCCTGCAAACACTTCAGAAACATTCATTCCCATGATCCGAGCATTCACAAACATGACATGTAAGTCCAGTGAAAGTTCTGTCCAGAGAGCGACTGACTGTTAACTGTAGAGTTAGTAAGAACGCAGCACTTCCTGTGTCTCTGATACTCAGACTGTGGATCTCTGGCGACATCTACTGGCCTGGATCAGCATCTGCAGGAGCATGAGGAACGCTGCTCGACATCTGCGCATCAGCATGACTCAGGGACAGCGCTCTCACACGCGTCTGTCAGTCGGTTTTCTTCTGCTGAGCTGCTACTGGTCTGTAATGGCAGATTATCTGTCCCAGTATGAAGGAGTTGATCAGGAGAAACAGCAGACCGGCCATCCAGATGAGAGTAAAGCTGTTGCGGCCCTCGAACTCCAGGATATAGGCAGGCGATAACCAGAGCGCCTGGAGAGAGAAGCGTCACAGATGGAGACTCTGTGACGGGGATATATTGATGAAGAGATGTTGATGTTCACTCACCTGACCCACGAGCCAGAGCATTAGCAGCCCGAGGCCTCGCGTCCAGCTCAGCGTCAGGCGCGGCAGCACCAGCGGCAGCAGACACAGATACCACAGGAAGTACTGTAGAGACACACACACACACATGAGACACAGATACCAGAGGAGGTACTGCGCACACACACACACGCGCTGATGGGTTGTGCTGGCAGTGACACTTCCACATATAAAGAGTGTTTGGTGCGGGACCAGCTTTACGGGTTAGGGACGGCGTGAGGGTCAGTGATCGATCTATCCGTGGATATGTCCATCAGGATAACTAATAAGGTGATTATTTATAATAATTCCAAGCAAACGTCCAAAAAATAAATAAATAAATCGAATAATTCTGAGTGTGCAGCCGCTCTATCAAAGCAGAGACGGACCGCTGAGGGTCAGAGGTCAGAGAGAGAGCGGGTCGAGCCCAGACGTGACCGGACTCGGGGTCATCTGCGTACCTGTGACGTGCACACCTTGTTGAAGCTGACGAAGACGGCGGTGTGGAGGAAGCAGCAGAAGGGCCGGTCGGAGCGGAAGGCCAGCGAGGACAGCAGAACCAGCAGCAGCTGCGGCACGAACAGAACCAGCGCCAGGGCCCCGCCCCCCTCCGCCGTCAGGTACAGCATGTAGAAGTACGGAGAGAAGTTGTGCCGGATGTCTCTGCGAGTCACGTGGTACAGGTACGCCTCCTGGAGGAACTCCCAGCCGTAACTGGGAAACGAGACGGAACGGATCGTTATATTATTATTTCCTTCGGCTAGATTAATAGTGACTGTGAAATAATCAATGGATGTGTGGGAATGATGTCGAGACACAAGGGCGAAATCACGCGGTCTAAATTGCAGCTCTGCTCACGTTCGTGAGGTGCATCATGGGATGCGTTAACGTACATGCAGTAGAAGGTCCCGTTCAGAGCCAGGAACACGGATCCGGAAACGGCAGCGAACAGCAGCAGATCCCTGTTGAAGAGCCGGCGGAGGTTCGGGAGCAGCGCCCGCTCCCGGGTCGGGGCCTCGGCCAGAGACAGCGCGATGGGCAGCGCGTACGTGAGCGGGTAGATCTTCATGTGGACGGACAGGCCGAACAGGAGCGCGGCGCGCGTCAGTCTCCGCGACTCCAGGCACAGCAGTGTGGACAGGACCAGCACGGCTAGCACAGACTCGGCATTCCCGCGCGTCGACACGCCGGCCGGCAGCGGGTTCAGGAGCCACAGGCCGCAGTACGCGAGGGCCGCGCCGCGGGACGTGCCGCGCAGAGCTAGCAGCCGTAGCAGCAGCCAGCCCGACAGCAGGTCGCAGGCGCAGAACAGCAGCTTCCCGAAGTGAGGCGTTAGCAGCACGTTAGGCGTCAGCATCAGGGCTAGCACAGGCGTGTAGCGGAACGTGGATCTGCGGTACGGACTCTCGCCCTGCAAACACACGGCAGACGTCAGGTATGTGTGACCCCTGACCTGGCCCATTACCACATCATAAGCCTTGGTTCAAGGGTCACAGTTCATTACATCATTATTTGACAAAACACTTGTTTTATTAAAGCATTTGGTTAGCATGTTTGTTAAGTATTGCAGTATAGGAACGTCGCGGGTTACTCGCGTGACCCCTGTTCTCTTTCACAGGTTCAAATAGGATGGAAGAGACTGTCGCTACGCAGCGTCGAGCGAACCGATGGGAGAGAACTCGAGGACCATCTCATATGCGATTATGCAAAAAAAAAAAACTATATAAAGTATTTTAAATACAAATTACAGTCTCTCAAAGTATTAAATTAAATTTCATTTATTTTTGTTTTTTATTTATTTTTGCTCCTTAAATAATACAAAATAATACCCAAAAGTAATTAAATAAGTATTTCAAATAATTAAAATACTGCCCGTGTGTATGTGTGTGTGTTTGTTTTTAATAACAATATACATTAGATATATTAATATACATAGAGCCAGGGAAGCAAAGAAAACACACACACACACACACACACACACACACACACACGCGCGCGCGTATATATAAGTGTGTGCGTGTGTGTGTCACCTGTGTGATGAATCTGGACGCGTCAGTGAACACGTGATAATCCACATCTGTGTATTTGAGCTGCAGATTCTGATCCTGATAAACACAGACGCAGAGCAGAACTAAGCGGATCAGAACCGCGGCGCTGAACATCGCACACACCCGAACATTCATCACAGTCTCTCACACACACCAAACTAACAAACAAACAAACACTTAAACTATACAAGACGGAGCGAGTCAAGCTTCCTGAAACCCGTACAGCGCCGTCTCGAGCCCACGTGACTGAAGGGCACGAGAGACTGACCAATCAGAGACGGAACTCCGCCTCTTTTGAGCTCGGGTCATTTTCCTTTGCAGAGATTCATTTCTGCGCTGTAGTTTTTTGGTAAATGTTTCTGTTTCATTAAAACATAACAAACATCTCGTCTAAATATCGCAGCATTCAATTTTTGTGCGAACCTATTTAAATAGTAAAAAGAAATCTACCAAACCTTAAACATTAGTGTTTATTCATTGCTATGCACATTTCTTTTACGTCTCCGCCGTGACGTAATGACGTATTTCCGGCCTAGCGAAGGCGGATGGAGGAATAATAGCGAGAAAAACATACTGTAAATATTAACATATTTACTGATTATTATTGTAATGGGATATTTAACTGGGAATAGACTATTTAAATAGACTAACGTTACATAAGATTATTACACATGATGTGAATCGGATTGGTTTAATAAGCGCGCGTTGTTTGTTTGTTTTTTAATCTTAATATCAGTCAAAATGACTCGATCTGTCGACGATTAACGCTCATTTCTCTCCTCAGACTGTTAATATGTGTATCCGACCCTCCTCAGATATACGCCGAGTCTGAGCCGTGTCGAGCTTTATTTCTGCAGAGCTTCACTGGGACTGAGATGTAAACTACACCAGATATGAGACAGAACTTCATGTGTAAAGCAGCTCTGCAGAAGACAGTCACTGGAGGAGCCTGATCTGGGAACAGTGTTTATAACAGTGACGGGTAACTACAGGCAGTGTGTGTGTGTGTGTGTGTGTGTGTGTGTGTGTATGTATGTATGTATGTGTATCAGCCTGTGTGTCTCCTCAGGTGTGTGTGTATATCAGCGATGGCCGCGCCGTTTGTCCCAGTTCCGGTTCCGATAGACCGAGCCCCGCAGAGAGCAGCCGTCTCAGTGCCGGACCGAAGCCAGAGTCCCGTGATCCGGGCCAGTCTCAGCGGCTGCGAGCGATCCGTGCAGTTCTCCAGCTCTCCTCATCTAAACTCCAGCTCCCCGAACCCCGAGAGCGCATCCGAGTGCCCGGATCACTGGCAGGACCGGCCCATCACACCCACGGTCCTGGGATACGAGGTGATGGAGGAGCGGGCCAAGTTCACGGTGAGTGCTTCCGATCGTACATCACCGTATCAGCTCAGCATGATGCGGCTCAGAACTTCCTACAAAGATCATCAGAAACAACAAAACATCATTAATCAAAATCAACACAATATCACACTCGTTTTGTTCCAAATTGATGAGTGTCTTCATAGGGCAAGTTCTGTCATCATTTACTCACAGTGCACACATCGAGATCGTACAGCAGTGTTTGTGCAGAAGTGACAGTGATGTGAATGTGCTGCAGGTCTACAAGGTTCTGGTGAGGAAGACTCTGGACGAGAGCTGGGTCGTGTTCAGGCGCTACACTGACTTCTCCAGACTCAACGACAAGGTCAGTGCTAGGAGTTATTCAGTGATGCGCTCATCTAAGCCTGTGCGTTCTCCGACCCGTTCTCCGACCCGTTCTCCGACCCGTTCTCCGACCCGTTCACTGACCCGTTCTCCGACCCGTTCACTGACCCGTTCTCTGACCAGTTTTCTGTCTCGTTCTCTGCAGCTGAAGGAGATGTTCCCCGGGTTCCGACTCGCTCTGCCTCCCAAACGCTGGTTCAAAGACAACTACGAGACGGACTTCCTGGAGGACCGTCAGCTGGGCCTGCAGGCCTTCCTCCAGAACCTCGTGGCCCATAAAGACATCGCCCACTGGTGAGCTGCTCACACACACATACATCTGCACGCGTGCCTGAAGTGTGTGTGACGGACTCCTGTTCCTCAGTGTGGCGGTTCGGGAGTTCTTGTGTCTGGATGAACCGCCCGGCCCGTTCGACAGTCTCGAGGAGAGTCGGGTGAGTCCGCTTTATACTCTACAGATCGAAGCCGCTTCAGTCATGATGATTCAATGATGAAAACAGTCCAACTCCAACTCTGCTGTACAGCATCGAAAACTCAGTGTGTGTGAAACATGATGTCCACTGCACACACACACACACACACACACACACACACACACAGACACACACACACGTCACAGGCAGGGCCAGAACCCGAAGATTGATTCCTGGTTCTCTCGAGGTTTTTTGGGCAGAAGGAAATCTGACATCATCCCTGCGCCGCTCTATAATAAACTGCAGTTCTAGATGATAACAGACATGTTAGTTCACATCATACAAGACAATGTTACCATCGAGTGTCATAGTACATTAATGTCTGTGTCTCAAAATGATTCATGTTTGGCTTTATCCAAAGAGAAGCCGACTTCTGTGTGTGTGTGTGTGTGTGTGTGTGTGTGCAGGCGTTCTGTGAGACTCTAGAGGAGAGCAACTACAGGCTTCAGAGGGAACTTCTTGAAAAGCAGCGAGAGATAACCTGCTTGAAGAAAACACTGGAAGAGAAAGAGCGGCACATTCAAACACTGGAAGGGCGAATCAAGTAAATCCAAACTCACACATCAGTGCAGGTGTACAGACAGACAGACAGACAGACAGGTGTACAGACAGACAGACAGACAGGTGTACAGACAGACAGACAGACAGACAGACAGGTGTACAGACATACAGACAGACAGACAGACAGGTGTACAGACAGACAGACAGACAGGTGTACAGACAGACAGACAGACAGACAGACAGGTGTACAGACAGACAGACAGACAGACAGACAGGTGTACAGACATACAGACAGACAGACAGACAGGTGTACAGACAGACAGACAGACAGGTGTACAGACAGACAGACAGACAGACAGACAGGTGTACAGACAGACAGACAGACAGACAGACAGGTGTACAGACAGACAGACAGGTGTACAGACAGACAGACAGGTGTACAGACAGACAGACAGACAGGTGTACAGACAGACAGACAGGTGTACAGACAGACAGACAGACAGGTGTACAGACAGACAGACAGACAGGTGTACAGACAGACAGACAGACAGGTGTACAGACAGACAGACAGACAGGTGTACAGACAGACAGACAGGTGTACAGACAGACAGACAGACAGGTGTACAGACAGACAGACAGACAGACAGGTGTACAGACAGACAGACAGACAGACAGGTGTACAGACAGACAGACAGACAGGTGTACAGACAGACAGACAGACAGACAGACAGGTGTACAGACAGACAGACAGACAGACAGACAGACAGACAGGTGTACAGACAGACAGACAGACAGACAGACAGGTGTACAGACAGACAGACAGACAGACAGGTGTACAGACAGACAGACAGACAGGTGTACAGACAGACAGACAGACAGACAGACAGACAGACAGGTGTACAGACAGACAGACAGACAGACAGGTGTACAGACAGACAGACAGACAGACAGACAGACAGGTGTACAGACAGACAGACAGACAGACAGACAGACAGACAGGTGTACAGACAGACAGACAGACAGACAGACAGACAGACAGGTGTACAGACAGACAGACAGACAGACAGGTGTACAGACAGACAGACAGACAGACAGGTGTACAGACAGACAGACAGACAGACAGACAGGTGTACAGACAGACAGACAGACAGGTGTACAGACAGACAGCTCCAGCTGACTCTCTCTCTCTCTCTGTGTGTGTGTGTGTGCAGCGGTGCGGTCCTGACCCCCGAGAGCCCGTGTGTGTCGGGCAGTGACAGCAGTGTGGACGTGGAGTCTTCGGCGGCTGAGGCGGATCAGGAGCTGCTGGAGGAAAAACAGTGAGTTCACGGTGATGCGCATCTAGCGCTTCAGCTCGTCACAATACGGAAGAAAAGTTCAGTTGTTACTTCCGTTTCATCACGACTTTAAAACCGTGTGATCCACACAATGGTGATGCAGTGTGTGTGTGTGTGTGTGTGCAGGTGTGCGCTGCAGTCGTCTCAGAGCTCAGTGTGTTGGTGTGGTCCTGCTGTCATCAGCTCTTCTCCTCCTGTGATCCAGGTCACTCCTCTAGAACACTAACATCTCCTTCACTGTGATCTGTGGATGGAGGAGTCAGCTCAGCCCAAAGACACACACACACACACACACACACACACAGCCGGCAGGATCGCTCAGACAATCACACTGACACTCGGTCCGGCCGCGGCTGGAGGAGCACCTCAGGGTCACGTCTAGGTTTTGTTTATTGTTTTTGATGTGTAAATGAGTGAGACTCACACACACGTGACTCTTCGGTTTGTCTCTGTGATGACGAGACCCTCACACACACACACACAGACACACACACACACACGTGACTCTTCGGTCTGTCGAGCGGTTTTCACATGACATCACTCCACAGATCACGTTCCTGCTCATTCTGTGCATTTCAGGTCATAATCGTAGTTAAATGCTGCTAGTGTGTGTTTAGTTCACTGAAGCCATATTTCCCGCTGTGTGTGTGTGTGTGTGTGTGTGTGTATGTGTGTGTGTGTGTGTGTTGATCACAGCGAAACCTGAAGCTCCACATCATGCACTTTACATCCTGAGGGATTATGGAATAGATGCTTCTACACTACTTGATGAAATGGTGTCCAAACACCACGGTAAAGCTGTGTGCCTGCCCACACACACACACACACACACACACCATGAGTTTCACTGATGACACAGTGCCTTCCGTCTTTTCCCTCAGCAGAATTTTATGTATTTATATGACAAACTTTAGAATGTGCTTCGCCGGGGTCGAAGGTAAAGGTGTTCTCGGTGAGCGAAGGCATTCACTCTATTAAACTCGCGATCGTCTTTACGTTTACAGCAATATCACTAATGTTTGTTTCGTTTAATCCGTTTCCAGCTCTCGTGTTTATTGAGCTGATTGTTCTACCGCTCTTATGCAAATATGCTAATGATGTTCAGAGGAAGTGGATGAACTGAGAAATATTTTCGGTGGTGGATTTTTTTCAATGTTCTGATCTTTAGAAATGTAATAAAAGCTTCTCTGGGAAACAAGTGGAAATATGAGGTGAAGTCTGTTTATAGTTGATATAGTCTGTATTTAGTAGTCTTCACTGTTTTCTGTTCAATGATCATCGATCTAAAACTGAGCTGTGAAATCAGACAAAACATTTCATTCAATTTCACAATAAACTTCCATTATAAATACTATACGTGCTGCAATGTCTCACTGTCGTTTTTCACTTTGCATTGAAATGTACACTGCTCACATCGATTATACTGTAACGGTGTGTGTGTGTGTGTGTGTCTCAGTGTCAGTAGGAGGAGCCTGTTCTGTTTAGTTCACTTCAGTTAGTTAGAGTCGCAGTGACTCGCAGCTGCATCTTCTGGTGAGTTTAACTCTTTGTCTGGTTAGTTTAATGTCATTGACTAGTTTATCGCTTTTTAAAGTCTCTGCAGAGTTTCACCGTCGATCTGCAGGTTAACGTTAAATGTGAAAATGGCGGTGCGGCTTCAGGCCTGATCCAGATTAATCCCGATTACATTCAAACTCACACCTGAATGAGTGTGTGAGAGACACACAGGTGTGTGAAGGACTCTGCGAGTCTCACAGTAATGTGTGTTTGTTCACAGTGACAGTTTATTTGTCGTTTAATCTCGTCAGAGCGCGTTAGCCGTGAAGCTAATGTGTTAGCCTGTTAGCATGAGTCTGCGGATAAACGGCGGAATATTTGCTGTTCAGTCACAGAATTACATAACAGAATCTTATTCATATGTCCCTGATTCACACACATGAACAATTAGCGACGTAAAACTCATTTAAGATGATTTGTGTGCCGGGGAAGTCATTAATGAGCGCCGGTAACAGGCCGCAGAGAGACAGACATACACCGATAAACACACAGAGGATAAACAGCTTAGTGTGTGTGTATATATATATATATATATATATATATAATTAGGTCAGAGAAGTAATAAACACTGACTTTATATCAGACCGATAGGTAAATAAATACAGGTGTCACTCCTTTTCTGAGTGTTTCGTGTCATTTTGTTCACCCAGCTTAGTGTGTGTGTATATATATATATATATATATAATTAGGTCAGAGAAGTAATAAACACTGACTTTATATCAGACCGATAGGTAAATAAATACAGGTGTCACTCCTTTTCTGAGTGTTTCGTGTCATTTTGTTCACCCTAACCCTACCTGCATTTACTTCTGAAAAAGCAGGTATTGAAAACTGCTTTTATATTAAATATAATAATATGTATGAGGAATTATAATAATGTTAACCCTAACTGAACTGCTGAACTACCAGTAATCGCAGCTTGTGGACACTGACCGTCCAGATCACACAGACATGAACGTGCCGAGACTCAGTTTCTCCCATCAGCCCTGCGGTTTAGGGAAGCCGTACGTTACATGAACGAATGAAGCCTTGGCCTCATGAAGGTCAGCTAGATGTTGGTCAGATTCACGCGTCACGGTGGAGATAACCTCTGGCGATAGACATCTATGAGGCGACATTCCTGATCATCAGATTCAGCAGAATCTCGAGCAGAATGAGCCGGAACATGAAGACTGGCTCACTCTGTGTGGACCGTTGTGTGATTGTGGATGTCTTGTGTTGCAGTGCATCATGGCTCGCAGTGACGGTTGAAGATCCTCAGGCTCTCGTGCATCAGCTGTGAGTTTTTATTCTGCTAGGTTGGCCATGAAGAGTGCGGATGGTTAGTTGAAGTGAAGTTTGGAATCCGTTTAAAAGGGTCATGAACTGATTATGTTGCATTTTGTATTTTATGTTTAAAAAGTGTTTTCCAAAGGTGCTCTTTTAATGTTAGAATATTTGCATCAAAAACTCTCATAATGTAGAAATAGAAGGACATTTGCTCCACTCGGATTTAAACCGTGTGTGTGCGGACGGTCGTGCGCAGAGGAATCCATCTCTGTCACATTATAAATGCAGATGTCCAGCGATATGAGTGATGTGCATGTGAGCGTGTGTTCCCTCAGGTCCTGTAGTTGATGGAGTGTGTGGTGTGTTTGAGGTCATGGCCACGGGCTCCTCCAGAAGCGACTGTAGCAATAACGCCAGAGAGCTGCATGCCGTCGGTAAGACCACGCCCACAGGAACAGGAAGTGACATGTTTTCTTCACATGCTGATGTGTGTGTTGTGTCTGCATGTACAGTTTCCTGTGCCAAACTCAAGAGGAAGAAGAACTGGTTTGGAACGACCATCTATGTGGAAGTGACATCAGAGGGAGTGAGCAAGAAAACCACCAAATCCCACAGCTCCTCCAATCCCGCGTGGGACGAGCGCCTGACGCTGTGAGTCTCGAGCGACGCTTATCTGCTAACACGAGGGGGATCTGCTCGTTTCTTTAAAGGGATAGTTCACTTTGAAATTAATTTTTGATGTGTTTTATCTTACCTCAAGGCCATCCAAGATGTTGGTGTCTTTGTTTCCACCGTATTCTCAATTCAATTTCAGGTCTCGTCATCATTTGAGAAAGTCAGTTAAATTAGAAATAGATTGGTATATTTTGGACCTGAAGAGTGAGCCTAAACCCGCCAGTGTAGAGAAAACCCGCCAGTGTAGAGAAACCCGCCCGTCATGTTGTTGGTTGCAGTAGCCCCGCCCACCCCGCCTCCGACGCAGGCATGGCGTGGGTTAAAACGGCCCTAGTCCAGAAAACGGTTGGTGCCGCTTTGGAACCAATTTTTCTGGCCGGCAAAGAACTGGTTCGCGAGTAGCCACTCAGGGATGCAAACAGCGCGCTTTTTGGCGCCTCCCGCTTTTTTCACATCAGTTTGAGTGACTTTTGTGAATCGTGCAGATCCGAAGAGATTTTTGTGGGGGTGGGGGGTGTCTGATTATAATTTCACCAACAATAATTCTGGATTGCCTCCACCAAACAAGTAAATAGAAATAAGCAAAGAACACCGCGGGCCAAAACAGCAGTATGAACCACTAGTGTTTCTTCCACTAGCTCGTGGCCGGATTGGAGGTAGCTCGTCAAGGGGCGCGCTCACTGTTCAGAAACGCGCACATGAGTGGGTGGCATTCTGCGCGTGTATACTGTTTTTTGCCCTCGTATCCTGTGCGTGAGTTTTGCGAATAAATAAACGCCGTATAGGCCTTTCATATATTGTGTCTTTTGCACTCTCAGGTTCGGTATTTCAAATGTAGGCGCTCATAATTGAAGCAATTTTTTTTTTCCAGGCGCAGCGAGATGAAAACTTTTCAGAATGCCGCGAGCGCATCGCATTTCATGTGACAAGAACCAACCACCATTGAAAGCTCAGTAGACATGAAGGATCGGGGTGCGCCCAAACACTACCGGCGTTTTTCTCTTCTCCATAAATAAATCTTGTAGCAGAGCTACAGAAAGCGTTTTTCGGTGGTGAAAATCTATTAGCTACTAAAACTTGTTTGTCGTCGTGTTATGTAGAGTGCCGTGCATTGATGCTTAGCAACGACACACACCACGGGAAAATCGGAATTTACTATTAATAATAAAAGATAAGCTAATGTGCAGTAATGTAAATGTCAAGTAATTCATTTTTGACTCATTCTTTTTATAAAAATGATTCAAAGGCTGAAATATAGGACGTTTTTCTTTTTATAACACATTTTTTTGTGAAAAAATGATTGAAAGGCTGAAAAATGTGAGGTGCCTAAGGGTGGGCCGGGGATGGCAGGGGTTGGTGGCAAGGTAAGTTTCTGGATATTTTCCGCGGGGTGAGGCCTTGGATTACCTCTCTATTTTTTGACCATTCATGTGTTTGCATCCCTGAGGCACCGCTCCGACCCGGCCCTCAAAATGCTTTGGTGGAAAAGGGGTACCAGTCAGAAACTCAGTCAGGGTTTATTTACATTTATTCCTTTAGCTGACGCATTTATCCAAAGTGACTTACAACTGCTATATATGTCAGAGGCCCCTGGGTCAACTAGGGGTCAAGTGTGTTGCTCAGGGACACATTGGTGTCTCACAGTGGATTCGAACCCGGGTCTCTCACACCAAAGGCATGTGTCTTACCCACTGCGCCATCACCACCCCATAGCTTTATGCTGCTTACTCTGTTGCAGCTTTTAATGGGTTAATCAGTGTTTTCTCTCCAGAGCAGCAGATAATGAAGCGAGCTGTTCGTTTGTGTGCAGGAACATCACGCCGCACTCGCTGCTGGACTTCAGGGTTTGGAGTCACCACACGCTGAAGACCGACACTCTGCTGGGGAGAGCCTCACTGGACCTGATCGGGACCCTCCGGAAACATGACGGCAAACGTACGTCTGACCCTGAACACACATCCCAGAAACATTATTTATGATTCATGTCTAAATCTGGGGCGGCAGTGGCTCAGTGGTTCATGTAGGTTATCTACCGAACGGAAGTTTGGTTTACTACAAATCAGACACCGCCGTCGGAACAACGGGTCGGGTGGGTGGGACATCAGGGGCGGAGCAACAGGTCGGTCGGTCACGGTGTGTGTGTGTGTGTGTGTGTGTGGATGGGGCATCAGGGGGCAGGGCAAAGGGTCAGTGTGGGTGGGGTATCAGAGGTGTAACACCCTTAGTTGTTACTATTGGAAAATTCAAGTAATAGATAAAAGTATTCTAAAGAACTGCATAAATATAATCTCTATATTTCATTTGGATAAAAATGATATAAGATTTCTGGACACACACTGCTGCCCTGGCTGTCGTGTGCAGAGCATGTTGGGTCATGTGTGGTGACAGCAGAGGCTGGTGTCGTTTCAGTGGAGAACGTGCGAGAGGTGTTGGCTCTGACCGTGGACGGCAAGAACGGAGTCGTGTCCACCGGGGAGCTCACCGTGATCCTGGACGGCCTCTCCTTTGACCCGCTACACATGCTCAACGGAAACCCCACCTCTGCAAGCAGTAAGACCCCTGCTCTGACCTCTGACCTCTAACCCCTGACCTCAGGCTGCCCGTGTCATCCCTCTGTCTGTCTTATAGAAGTCCATCAGAACGGAGACGCTCTTCACGAGAACCGGGACGAGACGCAGAACAGGTGAGGAGGCGGGGCTTCTCGAGCAGATCATCAGCTCTTCATGCTGATGACTGTGTGTTTGTTAGAACTGGTGACTAAATATGTGTTTGGCTAAATTATACATAATTGTGTCTGCACCTCATCATCATCATCATCAGCAGCATCTCTTCTGTATCCTTGATTCTGCAGGGCTGTGAACGGCTCAGACGGCCCAGACAATGAAGCTCCGCCCACGTCATCTGCCAACAGTGAGATTAGCCCCTCCCCCCTCCTCCTCAATGGAGACAGAGACTCCTCCCCTTTACACCAAACTCCCAGTCCAAAGGCCACGCCCACCCCGCAGCCCGGCAACAGTGAAGTGAGCGGCGCAGCCGGTGAGAGTCGCCTGTCACTTCCTGCTGCTCGTTTCCTGTGGATTTCACAGAAAGTTCTTTTTAATACTCATCTTGAATATTTCTAAATAAAGCAGAATGATGATAGATGTGTGTGTGTGTGTGTGTGTCAGTGAACGGCGAGGGTTTTGAGGTGTCGTCTGCGGGTGAGGATGAAGGCGCTCCTCCTCCTCCTGATGTTTCCTGCAGTTCTTCCTCTTCTCCTGCAGGGGGCGCTCCTGCCATCACTGCGTCATCACCAGCCTCCACTTCTGCAGTGCCGGACACACACACACACACTCCTGCTGCTGCCTCCAGCTCACCTGACCCTGAGGGAGCCAAACCAGGACAGCAGCCGCCAGCAGCCGGACCAGAACCACTGCCACCCGGGTCAGACTCTCTCACACACACACACACACACTGCCACCCGGGTCAGACTCTCTCACACACACACACACACACTGCCACCCGGGTCAGACTCTCTCACACACACACACACACACTGCCACCCGGGTCAGACTCTCTCACACACACTCACACACACTGCCACCCGGGTCAGACTCTCTCACACACACTCACACACACTGCCACCCGGGTCAGACTCTCTCACACACACACACTGCCACCCGGGTCAGACTCTCTCACACACACACACACACACACACACACACTGCCACCCGGGTCAGACTCACACACACACACACACACACACACACACACACATGCTTGACCTTTACACTGCAATCTGAGTAAATATGTGTTTTCTCAGATGGGAACAGAGGAAGGATCCTCACGGCAGAACGTACTATGTCGATCACAACACGAGAACGACGACATGGGAGAGACCGCAACCGCTACCGCTGGGGTGAGACGAGTGTGTGTGTGCGAGACGAGTGTGTCTGCGTGTGACGAGTGTGTCTGCGCGAGACGAGTGTGTCTGCGCGTGACGAGTGTGTCTGCGCGAGACGAGTGTGTCTGCGCGAGACGAGTGTGTCTGCGCGAGACGAGTGTGTCTGCGCGTGACGAGTGTGTCTGCGCGAGACGAGTGTGTCTGCGCGAGACGAGTGTGTGTGTGCGAGACGAGTGTGTCTGCGCGAGACGAGTGTGTCTGCGCGAGACGAGTGTGTCTGCGCGAGACGAGTGTGTCTGCGCGAGACGAGTGTGTCTGCGTGAGACTAACATTGAATGATAGACATTGTGTGTGTGTGTGTGTGTGTTAATTGTGCTAATGTTTTTCATGGAAATGTTTATTAATGTTTTGAGGCATGTCATTGATCTTGTGTGTGTGTGTGTGTGTGTGTGTGACCTCAGCTGGGAGCGCAGGGTGGATAACCGTGGCAGGGTTTATTACGTGGATCACAACACGCGCACCACCACATGGCAGCGGCCCACCATGGAGTCGGTGAGGAACTTCGAGCAGTGGCAGTCCCAGCGCAGTCAGCTACAGGGAGCCATGCATCAGTTCAACCAGAGATACCTGTACTCGGTACATCACCTGTGTGTGTGTGTGTGTGTGTGTGTGTAACTCATCTACACACTGATGCTGCTCAGCGCTCACTCTCTCTCTCTGTCTGATCAGGCCTCCATGATGTCGGCTGAGAACGATCCTTTGGGGCCGCTGCCGCCGGGCTGGGGTAAGTTAGCATTCGCTGTCGGTGCGTCTCTCCCGCTAGCACACTTGTGTGTGTGTGTGTGTGTGTGTGTCTGTAACGTAAGTGTGTTACGCTCGTGTTCTCAGAGCGCCGTGTGGACACCAACGATCGCGTCTACTTCGTCAATCACAACACCAAGACGACGCAGTGGGAAGATCCGCGAACACAAGGGTGAGTGAAGCTAACGACTGTCCTCTACGCCGATCCGATCTGCTGTGCGCTCTCATCACGCGTGTGTGTGTGTGTGTGTGTGTGTGTATCAGGCTGCAGAACGAGGACCCGCTCCCCGAGGGCTGGGAGATCCGCTACACCAGGGAAGGCGTGCGCTACTTCGTGGATCACAACACACGCACCACGACCTTCAGTGACCCGCGGACCGGCAAATCCTCCGTGTGAGTCCATCGGTCCGACAGCCGCTTCCTGACACCACAGTTAAACTTGTGTCACATAAAACATCTGTGAATAAAGCAGCGTTTAAGAAAACAATCTGGCACACTGATGCAGAGAATCAGCAATACAATAATAAAAGCTGTAAGTGTGGAAGTCTGTGCATCATAAACGAGCGTCAGACGAAACTCCGCTAACTCCGCTAACGCTGTCGTGTTCTCTGGCGCTCGGATGCTGCCGTTCGGGAACACACTCGTGTGTGTGAGATGCTTCTGGAGGGATTTACACCCAATCACTCTGAACACACACTTCCACTCCGGCGTTTCACGAACACCAAACCAACATTAGAGACGCTGCGACGCCATTGGTCCGCCGGCTACTCCAGTTATCCAATCACAGCCTCCGCTGAGCCAAAGTCACATGTGTTTTGTTTGACATTGAGGGATTTATTTGTTAAATGTTTTAAGATCTCGTGCATCTTGGCTTTCCCATCTGATGTAAATGTGTGGATGTAAAAAGCTTGTGTGTCATTACAGGCGCAGGGTTCCTCTAATGCGAGTGTGTGTGTGTGTGTGTGTGTGTGTGTGTTGAGCAGCACTAAAGGTCCACAGATTGCATACGAGCGAAGCTTCAGGTGGAAACTGGCTCATTTCCGTTATCTGTGTCAGGTAACACTCGCCCCACTCTTCAACACACACACACACCAAACCCTGAGTGTGTGTCGCTTCCTAACGCGCGTGTCTGTGTTCGCAGTCCAACGCTCTCGCCAGCCACGTGAAGATCACCGTGTCCCGGCAGACGCTGTTTGAAGACTCGTTCCAGCAGGTCGAGGAACACACGCCGCATCAGCTTCGGTCATGTGACTGCCGACACTTGCTGAATGTGTGTTTTCCCTCCTCACTGTAGATCATGAACTTCAAGCCGTATGATCTGAGGCGGCGTCTGTACGTGATCTTCAGGGGCGAGGAGGGCCTGGACTACGGAGGCCTTGCGCGGTACAACACACACACACACACACCAGGCATTCATACTCTTGCACACAGATCATGCAACACTTTTTTTAATTAGTTTGTCAGTGGATTAAGTTCTGAGAACTTCTGACGCAGAACAGGAAGTGACATCAGAGCTACACAGGGATGCTTCTGTCATTCGATCGCACTGTGTTATTTCATATTTAACATTATATTTTTATACACAATGTTTTCGGACAGTTTCTGACTGATTTATTCAATCATACTTCAAACATTGACGACATAATTAACAAGACAAGTCAAAATCAAATGTATTTAAAAATGCACTATTTTAGTGGCGTGTTGTTTCTAGCTGATGTGATTTGGACTGACTGAGTTTCCTGTGGTTGAACGTCAGGTGACGTGTTCTCAAACACTGATTGGCCATTCACACCAGAGAGGATCATTTTGCCTGGTCGTTTTGTGTAATTTTGTGGTAAAGATGAAGTGTTGATTGGAGTGTGCTATTGGAAGTTTAACACAATGTTGACTTCATTAGAGAGTTGAGTTTTATCAAAAACAACAAACCCTTATGACACTGCCGGCCGAGTGCAGACGAGTGTGTGTCGACTGAGTGATGACATCAGCCGTGTGTGTGTGCAGGGAGTGGTTCTTCCTCCTGTCTCACGAGGTGCTGAATCCCATGTACTGTCTGTTTGAATACGCCGGCAAGAGCAACTACTGTCTGCAGATCAACCCCGCGTCCACCATCAACCCCGATCACCTGTCCTACTTCTGCTTCATCGGGCGCTTCATCGCCATGGCAAGTCTCTCTCTCACACACACACTCACTCACTCACACACACACACACACACACACACTAACCCTAACACACTCGCTGTGTGTTTATTTTTTAAGCGTCAGGATTTTGAAGCTCTGCTACCGCGGGCGCGTTTTTCTACATTCGAATATTAATTTTCACCTTTGATGTCCTGTTTTTTAAAACTATTTGAATATATATATATATATATATATATATATTCGAATTTAGAATATTCATTGACAGCCCAAACACACACACACATCTGTAAAGCTGTAGTGTGTAGGTCAGCTGCTCACTATCTCTCATGTTTTCAGGCGCTCTTCCATGGGAAGTTCATTGACACCGGCTTCTCGTTGCCCTTCTACAAGCGCATGCTCAATAAGAAGCTGATCCTGAAGGACCTGGAGTCCATCGACCCCGAGTTCTACAACTCGCTCATCTGGATCAGGTGCGGCCGTCTCCTTATTTTGAGCCATCTTGACCTTTAGAGTGTGAAAACTGGCCAACCAACGCATTCCCGGGAGTGGTTTTGAGGTCAGAGGTCGCACTCATCTGTCTAGTAAACGCTTCTGATCGCGGCTCGTGTGATTCGTTCACAGAGACAACAACATCGAGGACTGCGGCCTGGAGATGTACTTCTCAGTGGACATGGAGATCCTGGGCAAGATCACGTCACATGACCTGAAAGCGGACGGTGCCAATGTGCTGGTGACCGAGGAGAGCAAAGAGGAGTACATCGGGTACGGGCGGCTCACTCGCAGCTAACCCTTCCTAGCGCAGTTTAGCCTGTGAGGGTTAGCTGATGCTAATCGAGCGTTACGCCAGTTCTGTGTGACGGTGTGTGTGTGTGTGTGACGGTGTGTGTGTGACGGTGTGTGTGTTCTGTGTGTGTGACGGTGTGTGTGTTCCGTGTGTGTTCTGTGTGTGTGTGACGGTGTGTGTGACGGTGTGTGTGTTCCGTGTGTGTTCTGTGTGACGGTGTGTGTGTGTGTGTGACGGTGTGTGTGTGACGGTGTGTGTGTGACGGTGTGTGTGACGGTGTGTGTGTTCCGTGTGTGTGTGTGTTCTGTGTGTGTGTGACGGTGTGTGTTCTGTCCCGCAGGCTCATGGCGGAGTGGAGGTTTTCTCGTGGCGTGGAGAGTCAGACCAAAGCGTTTCTGGACGGCTTCAACGAGGTGGTGCCGCTGCAGTGGCTGCAGTACTTCGACGAGAAGGAGCTGGAGGTCAGGGGTCGGAGGTCAGGGGTCGAGTTTCCCCCGTCCGACCGCTGACCGCTCTGTGACGCGTGTGTGTGTGTGTGTGCAGGTGATGCTGTGTGGCATGCAGGAGGTGGACCTGCAGGACTGGCAGAGGAACACGGTGTATCGCCACTACACGCGCAACAGCAAACAGATCATCTGGTTCTGGCAGGTGTGAACGCTTCACACACGTTTAGTTTCATGCTCACATTTGTCTCAGCCAAAATTCTTCAACAGTTTTGTCCAAAAGCTAAAATGTTTATTAAAAAAATGATCCTTGAGGGGGAAAAGCAAATAAACAACTAAATTAATAATACTTTCATATTAATTATATTATGAACTACTGCATTTTCCCAAAATACAAGTTGCATTTGTTGTGGGATTCACTAAATTAGCTGTAAATAAAATTATCGTTTACAATAATTATAAACAATATAAACGTGTATTTTAATTCCCATCACTCCACAACAAATATTTTCAATGCAACTGTATTCAGAATAGGAATGAAAAATAAAAGTATAAAACACACAAATTATAGTGGCATTGATCGTAAACGATGTGCATTATAAATGGCATGCCTAAACGAATGTGTTTAATGTGAAACTAGTGAAATGCGCTCACATTCTTATTTTATTCACAATAAATACAACGTTTGCCTTTTGTGTGTGTGTTTTATGTGCTTGACGTTATTTTATTGATCATTTTGCAATATAAGTTGCAGCACATTTCAGATTAAAAAAGCATGACTGATATTCCAGAAAAAAGATGGTAAATGAACATCGTGATTATCAAAGTGATTTATAAATCTATACACTGAACAAAATTATGAACACAACACTTTTGTTTTTGCCCCCATTTCTCTGAGTCAAAGATCTCAGACTTTATCTACACAAAAGGGCCATTTCTGTCAAATACTGTTCACAAACCCGTCTCGATCTGTGTTGGCGAGCGCCGACGGCAGGATTATGGCACAGGTGTGCCGCAGCGTTTGATCATGTGTGAATCGTGTGTGTGTGTGTGTGTGTGTGTGTGTGTGTGCAGCTGGTGAAGGAGGTGGACAACGAGGTGCGTCTGCGTCTGATGCAGTTCGTGACGGGAACCTGCAGGCTTCCATTGGGCGGCTTCGCTGAGCTCATGGGTGTGTGTCCGAGCTTCAGATAAACACACACACACACACACACATCCTTCAGATAAACACACACACACAGTTTATTCCCATCACTCTAAGCCTGGTCTTCCTCCTCCAGGGAGCAACGGGCCGCAGAAGTTCTGCATCGAGAAGGTGGGCAAGGAGACGTGGCTGCCGCGGAGTCACACCTGGTGAGTGTCTCGATGATGTTCTCATCTCACACACTCCTCTGCTCTCGTCTCACACACTCCTCTGTTCTCATCTCACACACTCCTCGTCTCACACACTCCTCTGCTCTCGTCTCACACACTCCTCTGCTCTCGTCTCACACACTCCTCGTCTCACACACTCCTCGTCTCACACACTCCTCTGCTCTCGTCTCACACACTCCTCTGCTCTCGTCTCACACACTCCTCTGCTCTCGTCTCACACACTCCTCGTCTCACACACTCCTCTGTTCTCATCTCACACACTCCTCGTCTCACACACTCCTCTGCTCTCGTCTCACACACTCCTCTGCTCTCGTCTCACACACTCCTCTGCTCTCGTCTCACACACTCCTCGTCTCACACACTCCTCGTCTCACACACTCCTCTGCTCTCGTCTCACACACTCCTCTGCTCTCGTCTCACACACTCCTCTGCTCTCGTCTCACACACTCCTCTGCTCTCGTCTCACACACTCCTCGTCTCACACACTCCTCTGCTCTCGTCTCACACACTCCTCGTCTCACACACTCCTCTGCTCTCGTCTCACACACTCCTCGTCTCACACACTCCTCTGCTCTCGTCTCACACACTCCTCGTCTCACACACTCCTCTGCTCTCGTCTCACACACTCCTCTGCTCTCGTCTCACACACTCCTCGTCTCACACACTCCTCTGCTCTCGTCTCACACACTCCTCGTCTCACACACTCCTCTGTTCTCATCTCACACACTCCTCGTCTCACACACTCCTCTGCTCTCGTCTCACACACTCCTCTGCTCTCGTCTCACACACTCCTCTGCTCTCGTCTCACACACTCCTCGTCTCACACACTCCTCGTCTCACACACTCCTCTGCTCTCGTCTCACACACTCCTCTGCTCTCGTCTCACACACTCCTCTGCTCTCGTCTCACACACTCCTCGTCTCACACACTCCTCTGCTCTCGTCTCACACACTCCTCTGCTCTCGTCTCACACACTCCTCGTCTCACACACTCCTCTGCTCTCGTCTCACACACTCCTCGTCTCACACACTCCTCTGCTCTCGTCTCACACACTCCTCGTCTCACACACTCCTCTGCTCTCGTCTCACACACTCCTCTGCTCTCGTCTCACACACTCCTCGTCTCACACACTCCTCGTCTCACACACTCCTCTGCTCTCGTCTCACACACTCCTCTGCTCTCGTCTCACACACTCCTCTGCTCTCGTCTCACACACTCCTCGTCTCACACACTCCTCGTCTCACACACTCCTCTGCTCTCGTCTCACACACTCCTCGTCTCACACACTCCTCTGCTCTCGTCTCACACACTCCTCGTCTCACACACTCCTCTGCTCTCGTCTCACACACTCCTCTGCTCTCGTCTCACACACTCCTCGTCTCACACACTCCTCTGCTCTCACACACTCCTCTGCTCTCGTCTCACACACTCCTCTGCTCTCGTCTCACACACTCCTCGTCTCACACACTCCTCGTCTCACACACTCCTCTGCTCTCACACACTCCTCTGCTCTCGTCTCACACACTCCTCTGCTCTCGTCTCACACACTCCTCGTCTCACACACTCCTCTGCTCTCGTCTCACACACTCCTCGTCTCACACACTCCTCGTCTCACACACTCCTCTGCTCTCACACACTCCTCTGCTCTCGTCTCACACACTCCTCTGCTCTCGTCTCACACACTCCTCGTCTCACACACTCCTCTGCTCTCGTCTCACACACTCCTCTGCTCTCGTCTCACACACTCCTCTGCTCTCACACACTCCTCTGCTCTCGTCTCACACACTCCTCTGCTCTCGTCTCACACACTCCTCGTCTCACACACTCCTCTGCTCTCGTCTCACACACTCCTCTGCTCTCGTCTCACACACTCCTCGTCTCACACTCCTCTGCTCTCGTCTCACACACTCCTCTGCTCTCGTCTCACACACTCCTCTGCTCTCGTCTCACACACTCCTCGTCTCACACACTCCTCTGCTCTCGTCTCACACACTCCTCTGCTCTCGTCTCACACACTCCTCGTCTCACACACTCCTCTGCTCTCGTCTCACACACTCCTCTGCTCTCGTCTCACACACTCCTCTGCTCTCGTCTCACACACTCCTCGTCTCACACACTCCTCGTCTCACACACTCCTCTGCTCTCGTCTCACACACTCCTCTGCTCTCGTCTCACACACTCCTCTGCTCTCGTCTCACACACTCCTCGTCTCACACACTCCTCGTCTCACACACTCCTCGTCTCACACTCCTCTGCTCTCGTCTCACACACTCCTCTGCTCTCGTCTCACACACTCCTCTGCTCTCGTCTCACACACTCCTCTGCTCTCGTCTCACACACTCCTCGTCTCACACACTCCTCGTCTCACACACTCCTCGTCTCACACACTCCTCTGCTCTCGTCTCACACACTCCTCTGCTCTCGTCTCACACACTCCTCGTCTCACACACTCCTCTGCTCTCGTCTCACACACTCCTCGTCTCACACACTCCTCTGCTCTCGTCTCACACACTCCTCGTCTCACACACTCCTCTGCTCTCGTCTCACACACTCCTCGTCTCACACACTCCTCGTCTCACACACTCCTCTGCTCTCGTCTCACACACTCCTCGTCTCACACACTCCTCTGCTCTCGTCTCACACACTCCTCGTCTCACACACTCCTCTGCTCTCGTCTCACACACTCCTCGTCTCACACACTCCTCGTCTCACACACTCCTCTGCTCTCGTCTCACACACTCCTCGTCTCACACACTCCTCGTCTCACACACTCCTCTGCTCTCGTCTCACACACTCCTCGTCTCACACACTCCTCTGCTCTCGTCTCACACACTCCTCGTCTCACACACTCCTCTGCTCTCGTCTCACACACTCCTCTGCTCTCGTCTCACACACTCCTCTGCTCTCGTCTCACACACTCCTCGTCTCACACACTCCTCGTCTCACACACTCCTCTGCTCTCGTCTCACACACTCCTCTGCTCTCGTCTCACACACTCCTCGTCTCACACACTCCTCGTCTCACACACTCCTCTGCTCTCGTCTCACACACTCCTCTGCTCTCGTCTCACACACTCCTCTGCTCTCGTCTCACACACTCCTCGTCTCACACACTCCTCGTCTCACACACTCCTCTGCTCTCGTCTCACACACTCCTCTGCTCTCGTCTCACACACTCCTCGTCTCACACACTCCTCGTCTCACACACTCCTCTGCTCTCGTCTCACACACTCCTCGTCTCACACACTCCTCTGCTCTCGTCTCACACACTCCTCTGCTCTCGTCTCACACACTCCTCTGCTCTCGTCTCACACACTCCTCGTCTCACACACTCCTCGTCTCACACACTCCTCTGCTCTCGTCTCACACACTCCTCGTCTCACACACTCCTCGTCTCACACACTCCTCTGCTCTCGTCTCACACACTCCTCTGCTCTCGTCTCACACACTCCTCGTCTCACACACTCCTCGTCTCACACACTCCTCGTCTCACACACTCCTCGTCTCACACACTCCTCGTCTCACACACTCCTCTGCTCTCAGCTTCAACAGGCTGGATCTGCCTCCCTATAAGAGCTTCGAACAGCTGAAGGAGAAGTTGCTCTTCGCCATCGAGGAGACGGAAGGCTTCGGTCAGGAGTGATGAACATCTTTGCCCTTTACGGCGGCGACGCATCAGCCAAGTAAAACAAAACCATGAAACTTGCACAGACGATTACCAATGTAAATAAGCTATTTTGTCATTTTAAACCAAATCTTTATCTTAAGACCTCATTTAGTGATCTTCATAACATGATTCCCCATGAATATGCAAGCGTTCGAGCTTCTCTGATCTTTTCAATGCTGATATCTATATACAACGCTTTGGTTTATTCATTCGGCGGGTTTTTAAAATGAACCTGAAAAAAAAAAAACATTAGAGAGGATTTTATAGTAGAACTCCAACTTATGGCTCTAGTTTTATAGAGCTTTTACAGAATGATTGTAGAGTTTGATCAGGTGCCTGAGGTTTCTCTGTTTGAGTTTTCTTGTTAAGCGCTTGCATGGCTGCCTGCGGAGAGAGGAGACAGACAGACAGACAGCTGTCTCACATATCATTCATCAGGATTGGCTCTGGACAGTATTGCTGTTGGCACTTTAGTATTGGTCAGAATCTCTGCACATGCTCAGAAAGGGTTCGTCCGTTGTGCTCGAAGCACTTCATTATTTCTGTGGCCTTTGACCGTCAGGGGAGGAAAACTGTGTCCATGAATATTTCATATTAAAATATATGAGTTCAAACAAACTCGGGTGTGTTCAAGTGTGCTTTATTTCGATTTTTCATAATAGAAATGTGTTAATGTTTTATATTTATTATTATTTTATTTAGCTTTATTTCATTTTCACAAAGAATATACAAAAATGACAAAATTAGTTTTAATTGCTCCCAAAATCCTTACAAAACACATGGAGGATGAATTGTTCTGTGAGAAAAGCAAAGGTAAACTGAAGGATTTAAAGTGTAAGTGATATCCTAATCCTACTACAATAATCCAACTAACATTATTATTATTATTATTATTATTAGGCTAGACGGAGCAGCCGGTGTCTGTGAGCTCACGCCAGCAAACGTGCAGAAGTACAGCAGCAGCGGTGGGGAATTACAGGAATCTCCTTCTGTTAATGTCGAATTCAAATCCACCGAATCATTAAAAAGCTCAATTAAGGCATCTCTGGGTTTCAGAACAGCAGGACTCATCCGTTGAGTTTCTTCAGAAGCTCCAGCGCTTCCTTATGGACCTGCATTGGGTCAAACGTGAACATTGCGCCTCCGATGACGATGATATAAGTATAACAGATAAATATGACTGATGATGATGATGGAGGTGTTTATGAACCTGTTTGTCTTCTTCTGTGATGGCAGGATAGTCCCGCGCTCTCGTGAGCCACAGCGCCGCCCGCTGGACGTCTCGAAGCATCACGTACGTCTTTCCCAGCATCAGCAGGTTCTTGCTGTAGAAATTTGGGTCAACTAAATTGAAATATTAAACTGTTAAGGTTGGAATCAGTCACATCGAAAATAAATTAAAAACAAAGAAGAAGGTGCTTGTGTTTCTATCATACGGGACCTTCTTCAGCTTTCAGGAAAAACGCCAAAGCCTGATGGAGACAAAACATTTATAAGTTTCTCTGCCAAACCAATAAAATAACATTTCCAACACGGAAAACGCCACAATATTCATTTCACTGACGTCTTCATAAGTGGCTGTCGGAGGCGACGAAAAAATAACGGCCGCGACTTTCCGCTGGTACCACGGTAATTCAGCGAACGCAAAACACCTGCGAGGAAGAAGAGACGTCGTCACTGTGTGTGGCCAGTGGTGAGCAAATATACCAGAACACACACTCACCAGTAACCAAGAATATGGATAGACGTCGCATCTTTAGGGTTGAGCTCGATCGCTCGCTGTAGAAATGAACGTTAAAGAAGTTTCATTCGTTCAGCGGTGAACTATGATGCTTTAACCCAATGAACATCTTACCTCCAAATGCTCTCTAATGATGTAGGAATTTCCTATTTTGACTTTGATCCCTTCATAGTCCCCAACATCACTGAGGCAAATGGCGAACCACTGCAGACGACAGACATCGAGTCAAACATCCACTCCCACACGGCAATACTCGTTTAAAGAGAGAATGAAGAGGTGCTTGCTTTGTGAGCCGCAAAGGAAGACTGGTTTTTCTCCAGAGCTTTGCTGGCGAAGTCGAAGGCCTCGTACGTGAGCCGCTTCTTCTCCTCAGCGCTGATGCGGGACAGTAAAGCCAGATCGCGAGATGCTCGAGCCAAACGCCACAGGAACTCTGCCTCGTCACTGGGACAACAACCATCCATCCGAGAGTTAGCAATCCTCTGGAATATGCTCATTAATATCTCGCTCAGCAGCTGAGACTAGTGCTCTACTGCCAGACTAACTATAACTATAATACTCTATACGTCATCTAATGGCTCGTTTCCACTGAGCGGTACGGTACAGTTCGGTTCGGTACGCAATTATTTGCGTTTCCACTGTCAAAAGTTGTGAATGGTACCAAAAAGCCGAACCGTACCACTTTTGGGGTACCCTTCCGTTGGGGTACCTAGCACAGAGATACGGTACTAAAAGGTGGAGCTAGACTCACTGCAGAACGCTGATTGGTGGACAGAGTATCGGCACTCGCGCGTGCTACAAGGGCATTAGAAGCATACAGTTGAAATATAATTCTACTGTTATTGTGTCACGAAATGTAGTTTTAAGAATTTTTCAGGCGAGAAAGTAGTTTTTTAAAGCTCAAATCTGTGGTTTATTTATAGATTTATGATAATTTAACTGAGATCCATTCCAAGCGATCACCGGACGCTCGCGCTCGTGTCCCCCGCCGGGAACAGCCTTTCCTCGGCTAGTCGTTCTGATGTTTGCCGCTGACTCGTCTCTGTAGTGGTTAAACATGAGATGTAGTTCGTCTTGTATAGACCTAACAGGTGATCTTTGGTCTCGTGAATCTTTAACTCGTTCCCTGGCCAATAGTTTTGGCAGAAAATGAACATACAGAGATAACCGGAGCGAGCAGAGTGCCGCGTTCAAGAACGCGCTGTTCCATTAGCAGAAACTGGACTCGCGTCCTCGGGATCATCTCCTGAGTCGGACTTTGCGTTGGCTTCTTGGAAACGCCTAATGCCAGCGCTTGTTTCTTGTGACAAACATGCCGAGAAGCAAGAACAAGATCTGCTGTCTGTCATCCATCGATCGCTTCTTTCCAGCATACCACGCCTATCAAGTAACGGTACTGTTGGCGGTGGAAACGCAAGCCTGATCATGGTGTACCCGACCCGTACCGTACCGTACCGTACCCCTCAGTGGAAACGAGCCATAACACGGCTGGTGTTCTTCTGGGACGGGTTGGTTTTCATCTACCATCCTTTAATAATGAGTGGGATAAGCTGGTTAACAACTGAGACGCCTTGTTTACCTTTTCCTACATACTCAAGTTCATTTGTGCGGTTTTTATACTGGCTCATTAGCTTTCTCAGGTTAGTTTACCCGTCCTAACACATTACCAGGCTAGTTTGTTTGAACAGTCCTAACACATTCCCAGATAGCAAACTGACATTGAATCAACGTGGAAATATGACATCGAAACAACGTTGATCTGACATTGTTTTGCTCATCGAATTAACGTTGAACCAATGTCAGACGCGTCATTCTCGCGCCAATTTTCGATTTTCATTTAGCTTTGAAGAATGCCGCGTCTGACGTTGGTTCAACGTTAATTCAATGAGCAAATCAACGTTGTTTCAATGTCATGAGAGACGTCGTTTCCACGTTGATTCAATGTCAGTTTGCTGTCTGGGTTACCAGGTTAGTTTACCAGTCCTAACATATTATCAGGCTAGTTTTACCAGTCCTAACATATTATCTGGTTAGATTTACCAGTCCTGACAGATTATCAGGTTAGTTTACCTGTCTTTGTATTTCACCAGGAGCTGGTGGAGTTTCTCAGTCTCTCCACAGCTGTACAGATAATCTGCCTGTTCTAAAACTTCTTCAGCTGGAAAAAATGCAGTTAAAAATGAAAATAAACAGCAGCACTAAGACTTTAATTAAAGCTCAATATTGCATAAGTACCTGATTCCAGCGCACACACCGAAGCGAAACGACTGACTCTGTCATAGATAAGGAATGACACTGGAGTTACAGCCACGAGGAATGAAGCTGTTCTGTTCTGACAGTCACAAAACACAAAAAATAGTAATAATAACCATCATAAATGACTTACAGGTTATTTGCTCTTTCATGCACAACCTCGTTCTCTCACACACACTCATGTTCTACATGTGATCCTTATAATAACACTTCTACAAGCAGATCTTACTGAAGTTCTGATGAGATCAGTCCAAATGCGCTCCTTCATCCTCCTCATCCTCGCGGTTCTGCTCACGAACCGCCTGAAAGCTCCACTCATCATCGCGGACGTCATCAGTGTGTGGGAACAGAGTGTGTTCTGCGTGTGTCGAGCTCGGGCTCTCAGTTCAGCTAATAAGGCTAAAGTTTGCGGGTCTGTTCCTCCTGCAGGCGCGCTGTCAACACACTGCCGTAAATGATTCGTACTTGTCGCAAAATAGTCTTTGGCTCTAATAAAAAGGTATCAGTTCTATGTTAAAATGTAAGCACACCTTACAATAAAAAATAATATACATAATATGTATTACATATTATGGCGAAGACGAGCAAGAGGGGCGTTACACTCACTGTAGTGTGAGTGTGTGTGTGAGAGAGAGAGAGAGAGAGAGAGAGAGAGAGAGTGTGTGTGTGTGTGTGTGTGTGTGTGTGTGTTGTGTGTGTGTGTGTGTGTGTGAGAGAGAGAGAGAGAGAGAGTGAGTAAGTGAGTGAGTGTGTGTGTTCATAAGGGTGTGTCTGCTCTCAGAATCCCCTCCGGCAACTCATTCTCTACGGAAGCTCCTCCACTGAACACTCATTTGACAGCATGTGAGTAACTCTGATTCTTCTGATCATCAATTAAGATAATTAGGAATACAAAAGGCGTCGATGTTAACATATTTAACGTTAACATGAAATATCTTGCGGTAATGTCAGCGGTAAACTATGAACTTTAACATCTCAAGTAATTTTTCCAGTAGAAACGCTTCATGACTGTTTACATGTAGTTTTGCAGCGTTGGGCCAATCACAGTCGTTTGTGGTGGTGGTTCGTCCAATAGGCGCAGAGAACGACGAGGCGCTTGGAACGAGGAAGTGTGAACTGTGAAAGTTAAATATAACATTCATATTCATTATTTCTGAAGTAGTTGATACCCAGGTGTGTTTGTGTTCAGTGTGTGAGAATGGATCCTCTGTCAGCAGCGCAGACGCGGTTCTCCCTCGACCTGTTCCGCAAAATCCGTGAAGAAAACACGTCAGGGAATGTGTTTTACTCTCCTCTCAGCATCTCTGCGGCTCTCTCGATGCTGTCGCTCGGGGCTGGAGGACAAACGGCTACTCAGATGAGCCGGGTGAGGAACACACACACACACACACACGGCTACTCAGATGAGCCGGGTGAGGAACACACACACACACACACACACACACACACACACACACACACACACACACACACACGGCTACTCAGATGAGCCGGGTGAGGAACACACGCACACACACACACACACACACACACACACACACACACACACACACACACACGGCTACTCAGATGAGCCGGGTGAGGAACACACACACACACACACACACACACACACACACACACACACACACGGCTACTCAGATGAGCCGGGTGAGGAACACACACACACACACACACACATGCACACACGGCTACTCAGAGGAGCCGGGTGAGGAACACACACACACACACACACACACACGGCTACTCAGATTAGCCGGGTGAGGAACACACACACACACACACACAGCAGAATAAAGAAAGGAAAGACGCTGGCCTGTTGTAAATGTGTGTAAAGTCACTGGTAAATCACGTGACGCAGTGTTTGCTCATGGAGGATCCTTTTCTCCTAATCTGTACTTTGACTCCTGTGTGTGTGTGTGTGTGTGTGTGTGTGTGTGTGTGTGTCACTATTACCACAGAACGGCAGTAAATTGTTATGAAATGTTTTGTTATCAGCTCAGGGTGTGTCAGTCAAGTCATAAAGAGAGAAGCCGTTTCCAACTTTTTTTGATGAATTAACATAATGACTAATTTGATTGGATAGAAAGAATTACAGTTGAAACATTTGTTTCCTTGTTTAAATGGTTAAATGATTTTGATTAAATAATGTTGGTAACATTTTCAGCATAAACTGATTAAAGCTCCATCTGTGAACTGAAGAAACCATATTTATGCTTCCATATCATCTGATTTCTCAGTGTTCTTACAGAATAATCAAATCCGCAACTTCTGTGATTCCCTGTTTGTGTCCAGACTCTGCATCTGGAGCCAGAAACCCACGCCGGCTTCAGCAAACTCCTGAGCGAGATGATGCGCGCCGAGGCTCCGTACGCACTGAGCATCGCCAACCGCCTGTACGGAGAGCAGAGCTACCGGTTCATTGAGGTTCATACACACACACACACACACACACACACACACACACTAGGGGTGTCACGATTCTCCAAATCCTCGATTCGATTACATTTTCGATTCTAAGGTCACGGTTCGATTCGATTCTTGATTTTTATCAATCAGCAATTTTACATTTTAATCAAACTCATGATTATCAGGATACTCTCTGTCTTACATGAGACACACAGCTCTCTCTCTCTCTCTCGCTCTCTCTCTCTCTCTCTCTCTCTCTCTCTCTCTCTGCTGTGCGCAGTACAGGTTTGAGAACAGTTTTTCCTGTGTCGCTCGCTCTAGATTCCAGGAGATTTTAACTCTGCGTGCGTCATGGAGCCGCTATCGATATGTGGGAGACTTCCGCGAGACGTGGGGTGTCTGCAAACTGTCTTTTTTGAAGCGTGAACGTTGTCAACATAACTCACTGGAAGTCCAAAACACTTCCACAGCCGCGACTGCAATGAACGAGGAGGGGGATCACGCTCTGTCGACGGGTCTCCTGCGTCTGCCGTGCTATCGTATATTTTGAACGGCTGTAGCTAAGTTAGGGGAGTTTGGCCATAGACCATACACACGTTTTTTCCGCTTGACAAGCCGAACGGATGTGACATGGGGGTGTGGCAGCATCGACAATTGTGAGTTAATTTCGATCGATTTCGATTTTAATTAATTTCGTTCGATTTAAAATCTAAATTGTGACACCCTTACAGTTTTTCTCGATTGTTTACACACATTTTCTGGTACTTGAGTCACAATGAGCACAACAACACGTAACTCATTCACCAACTCCCTGAACCAGTTCTACTGAACTACAAGCACAATTCCTGCTTTACACTCAAATTGCAGTTGTAAAACACACGTTTTTCAAAACACTACACACAATTCTCTGCATTTGGCACAATTTTCATGCAGAAAATCTCGTTTTCATGAGGAACACACTGCCATTCAGATATTCACACTGACTCGTCACATGGTCAAACACATTTTACACAGTTTTACAATTAGCGATCAGAGCTTTAGCATAAAATACCAAAACCAAAGAGAGGATGCAGCATAGATATTTTTAATTTCTTTTTTTACTGTAACAGCATAAAAAATTCAGTTGTTTTGTATGTAGACCACTGTATGTGCAACTTTGTGTTGGTTGGGGTGTACAAAATGTGGGATCTATCTCCCATTGATTTTGTGGGAAAAATAAAATATATTTGTTACCGTGTATTTGTGTGTTCTGGGTATAAAAAACAATATTCTCAAATATTTTACAACACACTTATGTATGTAATGTCTGTAGTAAGTGTAACACTGAACAAAAAAGGCCCAAATCATTATGATGAATGGAGAAGAAGTGTTTTACATTGAGCACATCAGTGTTCAACTGGTTCTTTTAAATGTCTGTTCATATGATGGTTTGTGTGTGTCATTTGAAAACAAAATACCATTTTGAGAAGAAATAACATTGTTTTGAATGTAAAGTTTCATTTTGCAGGAGAATTGAGGGGTTTTGCCAATTGTGTGAGTGTTTTTAGATTTGTGTGTAGAGTTCTGAGAGTATGAGGCGTTCTTTCAGAAAATGTGTGCAAACAATCGAGAAAAACTGTAATACACACACACACACACACACACGAATCATAGCAAGAATGTGCTACGATTGGCCAGCTCAGTGTGGCTGTTATCTGATTGGCTTGGGCAGACGGGGGCGGAGTCTCTTATCTGTAGATCGTTCTGCTCGGCGGCGGTAGAAGTGTTTCTAGATCCACAGATGCGCGACGACAGTTGCTGATGCACAAGAAGGGGTTCACAAATAAATCCCAGGCAGAGTTGTGTTTGTAAAATATTAAACATAAGTAAATATTTTTTTTTATTTGCAAATCTCATTTTATTCATTTGTGAATTTAATACATTTTTGTGATACTGTTTACATTTATTTGTGAATCTTATTCTATTTATTTGGAATAACGCAATTCTAACCCCATACTCGAGGGCCTTAGACGACACAACATCCGTCTAACTCCCCCTCGGGGCGCAGACCGTCTGATGCTAAAGCCGACCCGTGGCAGATCAGTGTTGAAGGTGAAAATAAGTGACCCATGTTTGAGTTGTTTGTGCAGCTGGTCTTTATTTTCCCTCTTTGTTGTTCCAGAAGTTCGTCAGTGACACGAAGGGCCTGTATCAGGCGGAGCTGGAGACGCTGGACTTCATCGGGCAGCCGGACTCGGCTCGCGTCCACATCAACCGCTGGGTGGAGGAACACACACAAGGTGGAGCAGCACACGTCTAACACACTGCTGCGACATCGCTTCATCCATTAGGCACTGCCTTACTCCTGCTAGCAAACTCTGTTCCTGCGGCGTGCGTTCTAATGTGTGTGTGTGTGTGTGTGTATCACCGCAGAGAAGATCAAGGACCTGCTGGCCGAAGGAGACGTGGACCCTCTGACCAAACTCGTGCTGGTGAACGCGGTGTACTTCAAGGGCGACTGGGAGAGGAAGTTCAGAGAGGATCAGACCCGAGACGAGCAGTTCAAGATCAACAAGGTCCGATTCAGGCGCTCTTACATTATTATCGGGAACTTTCTTACATGGTTTGACTTGAATGTCTATTCATCTTTATACCATGGTTGGGTGAATACTCGATTCTGATTGGCTGCAGGGTGTCCGTTAAAAAGTGATAGAGGACACATAGTAAAGTAGTTCTGGTGAAACCGCTTGTTTACCATTCGAAATTTATAAATAAATGCGCTGCCCACAACGGCTGTGAGTAACCATAGCAACAGGCAGTCAAACGCTCTATCGAAACAAACATCTAACGTTAGATACTATAGCCTAATACAACAATGAGCGACTTCGTTATTTCTTTTAACATTTATGGAGAATATGGCAACTTTGACGACTGGTATGCTGTGGGTCGACTCTCCGATGCTGGACTGGAGAGCCGTCAAATAATGTCGGTGACGGGCCATCGATGCGAGAGCAGTCTGCGGGCTTACTGGACTCCGTCTGTCCGTGAGAGCCGAAGCTGGAGCAACGTACTGTCTGCATCAGTACCCATCATGGGCAGCAGTAACGTTACCCAGCTTTTGTGGATCCTCCTGACTGGCCGACTTTTTCCAAATTGCACTATAAATGGAAACGTTGAAATTAATTGTAAATAAAAAAGCTAGCATGTAGGCAAATGACCCT